TCCGACTTCAGATCTCTTTGTTGACTTTAGTCAGTTATACGTACACAATGAGTTCTGATTTAACATATTCATAACATAACGTGTAAATGCTTGTAATATTACATTTATTAGCATTTACTAACAAGTTTGGTTGTTGTTAATTTAAATAATCATTACCTGTTGATACTCCTTGATTAACATGTCACAGAAAGACATTTCAAATATGCTTACAACCGAAAGATTATAGTTAATAAACATTAGCAGTTTATAACCATTTATGGAAGACCATTATTTGTTGATATTTACTAGGGCACTATTATTGACTGCTAATAGTTAATTAAATATTAAGAAGCAGACATTAAAATAAAGCATGATCATAGATATTTAACACTATTTAAAAGCTGCCTATATAATGACTTCACAACACATGCATAAGCACTGATTAACATATTTATAGAGCAAAGCTTGAATATTTATTAGCAGCTTATATACAGTTATATCAAGATGACTTTTTTAGCTGTTTTATGAAGTATCTACATAAGGGTCCTTAAAGCTATATACATACAAGCTACATACATACATTTAAAACACTGTTATTAAGCATTATTACCAAGTAATAGAATGCTGTGTATTGGTTCCATTCCCACTTCAGTACAAAATGACTTGCTTTTAAAATGTCCTTAAAAGTAAAAGCACTGTGAGTAATTACTGTTTGTGTTCTGCAGTCACACAGCTCTCCTTAGCTTTGATATTTGGTGCTCTTAATTAGGCCTTAGTGCCTTTTAAGTGCTATTACTTGGGAATGATGCTTCATAACAGTGCTATAAATGATTATAGGTGTTACAAATGTCTGTCACTTTACTTTAAAGCCTCTTTTGTCAATACAGTGTTGTTTACGTCAAAAAAAACATCTCATGTTATCTTGTGATTACTGGCATAGACTGTTCATAGTCTATTCCATTATCATTTTATTTAATAAAAATGTTATTCAGTGCTTACACATGTGTTATTAAGTGTTTTTAAGGCACTCCATAATATGGATCAAAGAGACAAACATGGAAGAACAAAGTGTGCTTGAAAGCATTAGCATAAATTTGTCTTCTAAGCAAATTAAAATGTTAAACGTCAATTTTCCTTTCCTTTTTGTTTCTTTGGCACTTTGAAATTCGACCAATGAACATTGCCATTACTCTTTTACTTCTGTATCAGAAATGTTCTACGAGTCCTAAAATACATACTCCATTATAAAAGATCGTTGCGCCCCTATCAGGCTCAGTACTCCTCATGATTAGATTTGCTCTCAGGTTACAGAAGTTGCTTAATCTCTGTTTAAAAAACCCTGTTGATGTGCTTGGATGTGCCATCATTCACTCGCAGGGCCAGCTTCCCCATCCCTCGTGCGAGAGGTGGGAGTTTGATGAGGATCCAAGCGAGCGCAGCACATGGCGTATAAACTACAGTCCGACCGACAAGGGCCCCATTAGGAAATCAGCACTACATCAGGGCCGTTACCGCCGAGCAGAGATGAAAAATGAAGTTTTATAGTCTATGTCTTCCATATGGAGGCCGCGCGCCCTCCGCCCTCGGGCACACAGCTGTGGGCCGCAGTGGGAGACCAGAGTTGTGCTGTCATTGGCCAACAGCTGCTGATGTCATTAGTGGGATGGGGGTGGGGGCGGGGGAGTGGGGAAGGAGGAAGTGGACACTGGAACGCAGGGTCTACTACAGCTTCTACACCTACATGAAGGTGCCTCGAAACGTCCACTGGGGACTCAGAGAACCTCAGAATATAGTTTAGTTGCATCAACATTATGAGGTTGATGGAGGAACCTTTGATGGTCCACAAGCTCTCGCAGGAGCCTCTAGCTACCTCAATGGGTTCCATCAAAGCTGTGAAATAGTTCATATGGAATTACTCTGGCCTTCTACCAAATAGGGCTAGACTCCGCCCCCCCTTATCACAACAGGGTTAGGATTAGGGCCAGGGCTTTAGTTAAAGTATGGATTGGGATTAGGGCCGGAGGGAGGGTTAAGATTAGATTTTGGTTAAGTGAGGGTTGGGATTAGGGCCAGGGTGAGGATTAGGATTAGGTTTTGATTAAGTTTAGGGTTGGGATTAGGGCCAGGGTGAGGATTAGGATTAGGTTTTGGTTAAGGTAAATTTTAGGATTAGGCCCAGGGTGAGGGCTGGGATTAGGTTTTGGTTAAGGTTAGAGTTAGGATTAGGGCCAGAGGGAGGGTTAGGTTTAGGTTTTGGGTTGAGATGTTAATAGTTGATCCAAGCAAGCAAAGGCTGTCCAGTACTAGTCGATCAATGATAACGTTACATCAGGATTAAGATTAAGTGAACCTTATTAGTCCCATATCTGTGCAGTGAAACACCACATACACACTAGTGAACACACACACTAGGGGGCAGTGAGCACACTTGCCCTGAGCGGTGGGCAGCCTTATCTGCAGCGCCCAGGGAGCAGTTGGGGGTTAGGTGCCTTGCTCATGGGGCACCTCAATCATGTACTGTTGGCTCAGGGGATCAAGCCGGCAACCTTCCGATCGCAAGGCTGGTTCCCTAACCTCCAGCCCACGACTGCAGGTCAACATTTATGTTTTATCGTGTTTAAATGCTGTTTGTTGTTGTGTCAGTTGTGCAAGATTGTTTGATGTGAAAAAAGCTGTAGATGTCCATTTTATCTCAACTCGGCCGTCTTTGTAGAAAGGTGTGAACTGTTTTTCACACCAAGCGATCCTCATCCCTCCCCTTCCACCCCTTATTGCTCACCAGCAGCTCAACATTTCACACACAGAAAGTCCTAGTTCATCTGGTAACAGAGTTGCGGAGACAGAATGTGGCATTATGGTTATATAAACTCAAAACGTTAGAGTCGATTTCCATTCCGCTGTTGGACTGACCACTAGGGGGCACTGCAGAAAGAGCTTAAGTCATGAGGATGCAAGAAAGTAGCACCTGCCTATGATGATCTTACATTTTGTAATATTTTTACTGGCATCAGAGAACTTTTCTCTGGGGTTATGGCTTCCAAGTGAGGGGGCGTGTATTGAATCCGCTCTGAGAGTGAAAACACAGCCTCCTCAGGCTCTGATGGACCATCCATCTCGCTCTGTTCATTTTAAGGAGTCATTTAAAGATGTCAGATAGAAGAATGGTGCAGTCCTTCACCACAGGCCAACATTTACACCGTGTGTCTGAGAGGAGAAACTAGTGGACGCAGGATGAATAATGTGCTGCTGACCGTGTTTGCGTAGTCCACTTTAATCTGTGTCAGTATGTCTGCTGCGCTGTGGATGTTGGCACAGCTGTACTGGATGACAGACAGCGCCCACCACACCCCCGTCCACTTATGTGGTAGCCCCAGCCCGCCTGGACCTACATTAATGCGGACATTCTGTTTGACCTGACGCTGCCCAAGTGCCACCTTAACAAGCAGTGGCAACCACTGCCACCCACCTGCCACAGAAATTAGGCACTCGATTAGAAACAGGAACATGTAATAACTCCGAATGGTGACTCTGAAGATTAAAAAAAGCAGCTGGCGAGAATTTTGGCAATCAGAAATATCATCTGAGTCGGGATTATGAGCCAGATGAAGTAGCGTCTAGTCTCTAAAGTGGTAAAAAGGTGAGGTGACTTACAGGGCCAGGGAATGAGAAAAGAAGCTGAGTCTCTCTCTATCTGTCTGTGTCTCCTTATTGAGTTTGTTTTTTACTTTCTTTACTTTAAATCAGTCCAAATAGACTCAAATCTGGAATAGCAATAAAACGACTGAGGGCCTAAATATTGATGTTTGTTGGCTGATGATGAGTGAAGATACTAAACACAATCAGGGCCTATACTAACAAATAGATATGGGCTTTAAGATTTATAGGTCCATCTTTTGTGATGGGCTGGTAAATTAAGAGTATTTCTAGTAAATACAATAAAGAGGAATTCCACTGATTAATTAATCCACTCCATAACTCAGTGTGTGAGCTGTAATCAGAGAGACTCAGAGTGGTTTGGTGTGAAATGGTTCAGATGTCTTTACAGTGGTGGTGATAGGAACCAGGGGTCGCCATGACTACAACACAGATATAGACATTTTATTTACTATCCAGAACCACCAGTGAACCTACACGAGTCTTCTGAGTTTATATGGAATGTTGATGATGGGAAAATAGTGGAAAATCTGAAATATTAAGTTTTCTTTGGGGACTATTTTGCCTCACAGCGCCCTGCATGTATCCCTCCACCATGAATGGAGTTTAAGTTCTCTAAACTGTCATAAAACAGTGTCTCAGTCATCAGGCAGTGAATTCATAACCATTTACTGTAGTAACTTTCTGTGAGGGAGCTTTTAGAGGTGGACGTCTGGTTCCTATCACCACCACTGTGAACAGTTCTGACTTGGTAAGTTTCTCTAGAACAGAGCGTTTCACACCAAACCACTCTGAATGAATCAGTTTACATATTAACCTTTTAATTATGCAGAAATTTTGAAATTCCCCTTCCCATTTCCCACTTAGGGCCAAGCCACATACTTTCTTTTTGTACAGATATATATAAGACATATCTTACAAAACGATATTTTCAGGTGGATGTGGAGGTGCTGGATCGTGCTGGTAACAGATTGTTGTGTGGGAAGGCTCTGTGAAGTTTCCACTAACAGAAATACTGTGAAAATTTTCAGATTAAGTTATGCACATGTACCTTTTATGTCACCTAGTCTATTGTAATGCTCAGATTTGTTAACAACAAGTTCTATATGTACCGTACCTGCATAACCACTGTGCCTTTTGCTGTGTTCTACTTGCAGTTCAGCAGAGCTGTTTTACACAACGTCTTCCAGCTGATTCTAGAAAATCCACAGAAACCTGGAGCAGCGTCTCGTTTCATTTAGCACCTACACTAACCATATCCCTAGTGTTGTTTTAGTTAAACACAGAAGAGTATGGCGACTGCCTCTGCAAGGCAGCATGCTTGTTTAAGCACTTAGACCTTCCAAGTCTTTTCTGTGTCTGTGTAGAAACAGCCACTCCTGAGCGGAATGGAGTCCAGTGAAGTCTGGAGTCCAGACCACACGCATACAGACAGGTTCGTACGAGACAGTCGTTGGCAAAATTATGCAGGACAAAACGAGTCTCAGTGTTTAAAACAGTCTCCCCAACTTTCAGACAGTGAACCCAGTAAAGAGCACATTCAACTAGAAAAGTGCATTTTCTGAAGGAACGTGCAGTGATCACACAGTTTAAGCTTGCTAATATGTTGCTGTGCAGTTGCTATGGTATCCCAGGTGGTTGCTAAGGTGTTGCTTTGGTATCCCAGGTGATTGCTAGGGTGTTGCTGTTGTATCCCAGGTGGTTACTAGGGTGTTGCTGTGGCATCCCAGGTAATTGCTAGGGTGTAGCTATTCAGTTGCTATGGTATTCCAGGTGGTTGCTAGGGTGTTGCTGTGGTATCCCAGGTGATTGCTAGGGTGTAGCTATTCAGTTGCTATGGTATTCCAGGTGGTTGCTAGGATGTTCCTGTGGTATCCCAGGTGATTACTATGGTGTTGCTATGCAGTTGCTAAGGTATCCCAGGTGATTGCTAGGATGTTGCTGTGGTATCCCAGGTGGTAGTTAGGGTGTTGCTGTGGTATCCCAGGTGGTAGTTAGGGTGTTGCTATGCAGTTGCTAAGGTATTCCAGGTGGTTGCTAGGGTGTTGCTGTGGTATCCCAGGTGATTGCTAGGGTGTTGCTATGCAGTTGCTAAGGTATTCCAGGTGGTTGCTAGGGTGTTGCTGTGGTATCCCAGGTGATTGTTAGAGTATTGCTATGCAGTTGCTATGGTATTCCAGGTGGTGCCTAGAGGGTTTCTAGGTGGGTGCTGGTCATTGCTATGATATCATAGCATTACTATGACATCACAGCAATGATAAAGCCATTCTTTCCTGTGGGGAAAAAAATGTCATTGTATGACAACAATCAAAATGTCCAATCAAAAAAGCTGTAAAAAGAAGAATATACTGTCGTATAACAATAGTGTTACCTGCTAATTCAGTCAAGAGACTCAGTGCTTTACTTGCAGTTGCTACAGTACATTCCAGCGTGTTGCTAGGGTGTTGCTGTGGTATGTCTATGCTGCTGGCAGATAGTTTTCCGTATGCAGTTGACTAAAGGTTCGGGTGTGCAGGTAAGTGTTTGCTGTGGTATCCCAGGTGATTGCTAGTTTGTTGCTATGCAGTTGCTAAGGTATTCCAGGTGATTGCTAGGATGTTAAATAAGTTTTTCCAGGTGAAAAGTTCGTATTTGTACCTTTTCATAACCGAATGAACAGTACAGTAATCAGAACAGTAAAATAAAAGCCTGGAGACGAGACGGGGTGTGTGGAGTCAGTACAGCTTAGAACATATCATTTCAGTGGATTATGGTTCAGTTATGTTCCCTGACTAAAGGTACTGAGATGGACCCCTGAGAGTCCCACCCCAGTGAGATTTACAGTTTAGAACCTTTATTTCTGAGAGTGTATAACAGTGTCATGTTATATGATGTAATGAGGTGAACTGGAATACCACCTGCAAACCGGGCCTTATCTCCTAATATCAGTGATCTCACTAATGCTCAAGACCCAAAACATAATAAAAACCCAAAATGTTTGTGTAAACACAAAAATAAGAAAATCTAAATTACATATACATTATTTGACCAAAAGTATGTGAACTTCTGCCAATTAGTGACTGAACATCAAGTCAAGTATTTGCTCACAAGCCCATGTGCAATGCAGAGCGTTGGCTAGAGTGGTTCCTGCTAACTGCCTGAATACTGAATGCCAACCGTAAAGTTAGGAATAATGGGCTGGGGCTGTTTTTCATCGATTGGGCTCTTCAGTTACAGTGAAGATCATGCTGCAGCATATAATGACATTCTAATTGTGTTCTTACAACTTTGTGGACATCTTTGAGGAAAAACCTTTGCTGCCAAGCACAAAGCTTCATAAAGTGAGTCGTAGAAGAACTTGACTGGCCTCCATAGATCCCTGACCTCAACACCTTTGGGGTGAACTGGACTGTCGACTGAGAAACAGGCCTTATGACCCAACATCAGTGACCTCACCAATGCTTTTGTGGCTAAATGGAAGAAAAGTATGTTCCAACTAAACTAAACCTTCCCAGAAGAGTAGAGACTGTTACTGCAGCAAAAGGAGACAAACTCCCTATTAAACCCCTTCGTTTTGGAAAGAGCTGTTCAATAAGCACATTTGGATGTGATGTTTGGGTGTCTGCATACTTTTGGGTATGTAGTGAAGACACAGACATGCCATCTGCCGTGATACACAAAAAATATCCCGTTAGCTGCAGGATTCTCATAGAGGCACATGAGGATAGGCCTCATAGAACTCAGCAGGGTTTTTCTAAAAAGGGAAATATGGAAAAGTCAGTATAGCCTGAAGAGCCCTATATCATGACTGTAGGATGTATGGAGAACAGCAGAGGAGTTAAAGAGCAACTCATGCATTCTGTTAAAGGAACTGAGCTCAGAATGCAGCCAACAAACAATGAGTACAGACCACATTTGAAATAAAATAAATTTACTGAAACAACACTGTGTTCTCTGTGGATAGGAGGAGATGTGGAGGGGTTTTGGCTTGGAGCTCTGGGTGGCGTCCGGCTTTAGCTTTATGGCCAAAACCTCCTAAAAGACTAAAAATAAACAGAAAACAGGGAGTGGGGGAAGTAATGTGTGTGAGTATATGAAAGGACAGCATGTAGTGAAAAGTGTGGTTATAGTCCGTACACTGTGTTATTGGAGGAGGGGAGGAGTGCAGGCGTGGTCTTCCTTCCAAATGTCATTGCATAACTCCATTTAATAAAGGCTGCATAATGTTAACTGGCTCCTAAAAGCTTTTTGTGTAAAGTAATTCTTATAAGTGTATTAACAGCACTCATTCTATCTTATATAACCATGATATAAACACAGAAATGACAAAATGACATTCATTTGCCCCAGAAAAGAAATAAATTCCATGGTTTTGGCCCAAAGAGAAATGTTCCCCATTATTTTGTACAAAAAAAAAATGTTTGCCATCATTTTGGCCCAAAGACAGAAATGTTCTTCAATAATATTTTGTGAAAGAGAAATGTTCTCCATTATGTTGTTCTAAAAGAGAAATGTTCTCTTTTATTTTTGTTCTAAACAATACATGTTCTCCAATGATTTTCCCCAAAAAGATAAACGTTTTCCATTAGTTTGCTACAAAAAATAAATGTTCTCCATCAATTTGGCCCAAAGACAGAAATGTTCTCCACTGGATTTGACCTAAAAGATACATATTCTCCATTGTTTTGGCCCAAAAAGAGAACCATTCTTAATTATTTTGTACAAAAAAGAAATGTTCTCCATTATTTTGGCCCAAAAACAGAAACATTATCTATCGTCTTTCCTGCAAAAGATAAATGCACTCCATTAGGTTGGCCCTAAAAGAGAATTGTTCTTTATTTATTTTAATTTTTTTTCTAAAACTGTTTAGGCCCAAAAAGAGAAATGTTCTCTATTATTTTGGTCCAAAAAGAGAAATGTTCTCTATTATTTTGGTCCAAAAAGAGAAATGTTCTCCATTATTTTGGTCCAAAACGAGAAATGTTCTCCATTAATTTGGTCCAAAAAGTGAAATGTTCTCCATTAATTTGGTTCAAAAAGGAAATTTTCTCCATTATTTTGGCCCAAAACCAGAAACATTATCCATAATCTTTCCTGCAAAAGATAAATGCACTCCAAAGTTCCTCAAAAGAGAGAAACTTTCTCCATAGTTTTACCTGGAAAACAGTATTAGTTTCATTACAGTATTAATTCTGCGTCATTTTGTATTTCATGCTTATATTTCGTATTTCGCTTCATATTGAAATACTGTTCATAACTTTTAATAAGAGAAGGTCCGGCTATCTGTTCCTACTGGATTAGCACCTCACGGTTATGAAAGTTTATTAAAGGTGATGACACACATGTTCCACAGTAGCTATGTTGACCGCGAGTCCAAGTTTGGTGGGTTTGAAGCCCACCCAGGACTGTTTGTTTACCGTGTGCCAATCAGTCAGCGCACCGTGTGACTTGCGTGTGTATTTGTGTGTTTGAGGGCAGCTGGAGGAAGGCAGAGGTGTCTGGGGGGGTTAATTTATGGAGCGTTTTCTGCCGTCAGAGGAGACAGCAGCGCTGGAGGACCCTCGGGAAGAAGTTGAGATAAAGTGCTGAAAGGTGGGCGCATGGAGCCGGGAGGTGCATCCAGACCTGGGCTTTAACAGATGGTGAATGAAGATGAAACAACACATTCTAATAACTGAATATGACACTTTTGTTTACAAGCACAGAGTCTAAAACAGCTCAGTGAATGAAAGCAACTTAAAGGGCCCAAACTGGGTAAAAATTCATTTTCACTTTTATGAAATAAATGAGTTGCTGGACCATGTGATGTATAAACATTATTAAATCTTCACAACAAATGGTCACTGCCCGCTCCACATGTGGAAACTAAGCTGCACAAACAGTCCATTTTGAATTCAGTGTTTCTGTGATGTCGCAAAACCTTTTTCCTGAAACGTTAGTGCACAATTTCTATTCATTTGATGAGTTTAACATGAAAAAAAGTATAAAATGCAAAAAGTGCTGCAACTTTTGCACAAATCTCAAGCTAAATTCTTCATTCTTAAACTCTAAGGATATTATTTAACCTGATTTTTGTACCTTCTCCACTGGCTTGCTTAAATAAATCATTATTTTGATGCAAATTTCAAGAAAATGAGTCATTATGTCAAGACACTAAGACAAAATTTAAATAAAACATTTAAACATTTAAAGTAAACTTTTGTTTACATTTGGAGATACTAAGCCAAACTTTTGAAAAAAATAGGTCATTAATTTAACAGAGTAAGTAAATATTCCAAGAAAATAAGTTATTTTTTTGAGATATGACATCAAATTTAGAGAAATTTGCATTATTTCAACATAGTCAATATTTCAAGGAAACGCGTCATTACGTCAAGATACTCAGTCAAAATTTTAACATACTGCTGGCAGAAACAGAGAATGAGAGCATACATGTAGGTGATTTCTCCTACTTCA